AATCCCGCCTGGTATTGCCTCACAAACTCTCTTGCAAATGGTGACAGGCGGCGGTATAGAATTTGAATGAGTACCTTGTAGGCCGCGCTTAGCAGTGTGATCGCGTGATAGTTGTAGCAATCCAAGTTGTCGCCCTTTTTGTAGATTGGGCATACGACACCTTCCATCCACTCCTCCGGTAATATCTCCTCCTCCCAAATCCTGGCAATTACCCAGTGCAGCGGTGTAGCCAGTGCTTCACCACCGTATTTTAATAGCTCACTTGGTAGTTGATCTACACCAGTTGCTTTGTTGTTCTTCAGCAGACCGATCTCCTACTCAACTTCTTGAAAATCAGGGGTCGGTAGCCTGTCGTCTTCTGCGCGTGCTCCAAGGTATGTTGCCGAGCCCCCTTCATTTTCTGCTGCTTCACATTCAATCTCGTGCGGTGTTGCAGCATTCTCGCCCGTGCTGCATTCTTCTCCTCTTCTAACAGTTTGCATTCGCCGTCAAACCAGTCATTTCTTCGGTCCGGGATTTCAGTACCTAGTGCCGCTGCAGCAGTACTACCTATTGCGGAACGGATTTCCCTCGAGCCATGTTCAAAAGAAGCTACGCCAAGCTGCTCTTCCGTGGGTAGTGTAACTTTCAGCTGCTGCGCGTAGTCCTGGGCAACTCCGACGTCCCGTAGTTGCTCAATGTTGGGTCGCGGCGTTCGACTTCGACGGGTGTTATGAACCGTCGAGAGTTTTGAGCGCATGCATACTGCAACTAGGTAGTGGTCCGAATCTATGTTCGTACTGCGGTACGTGCGGACGTTGATAATGTCGGAGAAGAATTTCCCATCGATTAGAACGTGATCGATTTGGTTTTCTGTGTTTCATCGAGTTGTGGACAGTTGACTGTACTTCATCTATGTTGCCAAAATCGAGATCTTTTTCGATATGTCACAATTGAGTGGCTCAGCGATAATAATCAATACTCCTTTATGTGAATCCTGTTGAAAAACTATTGAAAAATTCGTGGAAGCGAGGAGGATCTCTCGGTTTTTGACGGTTTAATTGACCTACATTTGGAAGCGGCCAGCGCTGTTATTGCCTATCGTAAAGTATGAGATCACCAGTTTTACACATTGCAGATGCATGCTAGTCCAACGTATTGTTTGTTGCTTCTCTGCCAGGTGAGCTAGTAATAACGGAGTAGCAACCGCGAGCGGTTAATCATTCTCATGCTCAATTATGTCTGTACTATCTGAAGTGATGCAGTTTTTCTGCAGTAATTCAGTACTTTTCAAACTGATTCCGAGATTTTCTAAAGTGTTTCAGAACTTTCAGAAGAGATTTGGACTTTTTTAAATGATTAAAGACTGGACTCGGAAAAAATGAGACACACAAAAATGATCATCAAAAATTCATTTTAAATCGGATACTTCTCAAATTTTCAGGGATTAAATAACTATATATTAGCTATGTTTTGGCATAATTTATTTATTGCAGGACCCTAGCTGAATACTCGTACATTTCTCTTAAGACTGCTCATGAGATCTTGGGCGAAGCTTTGCCCATCTTCCTTACACAATTTCTCCCAGTTTTTCTTCAAAGCTTCATCGGTTTTGAATATTTTTCCGCTTTTCTTCAACTTCTTCTACATTATCGCCCAAAACTTTTCGATCGGACGAAGTTCTGGTGTATTTGGCGGGTTCGCCTCCTTCGGGACCACATTAACGCCCTTCGCTTCGTACCAATCCATTACAGACTTAAGTAATGGCACGAAGCGAGATCCGGCCAGAACAGCGTGGGACCACGGTGAGAGCGGAGGAAGGGCAGCAAGCGCTTCTGTGAGCATTCCTCTCGATAAATCTGCCCATTTATGGTGCCGGTTGTAACGAACGGCTTGCTGTACCGTCCGCACTTGCAGATCGCCTGCCACAACAGGTACTTCTCGGCAAATTTGTCCATCTTTCTCTTCCGGAATTTTTCCGGAACCTCCATGCGGGACGTACCGACAAAAAACTCGAGCCTTGATGTATGTCTCGTCGTCCATGACGAGACAGCCTGGCTTGACCAGCCACTTACGGTACAGCTTCCGCGCACGCAATTTGGCAACCGTGTTTTGCTTGTCAATCCAGTTTGGCGCCTTCCTGACCTTAAAAACACGTAGCCCAGCCCGCTTCATGGTCTGCTGGACGAACCACTTCGACGAATTGACCTTTTTGGCAACGTCTCGGGTGGAAAAGTTCGGGTTATTCTTAAAGTACTGCCTTATCTTTCGCGCCTTCTCTGGGTATTCTTCTGGATGGTCTTCGTTTCCTGGAACATCTTCACAACGCGGGACAAGGTGGAATGATGGATTCCAAGCCTTTTGCCGATCCATCTGTGCGACTGACCAGGATTATCGATCAACGCGCCCAAGATTTGCTGGCGTAGCTCTTCTTTTTTCGAATGCATCTTGAAAACTACTTGACAGATCGCGATAAAATTTTGCACACATATACATAACACTCTTTTTTCATTAATTTTTACCCACGCGATAAAAAGTTACACCCAAAACAAAGTGTTGCATTTTTTTCCGAGTCCAGTCTTTATGTGCTCCCTAAAGTGATTTCGATTTGGATAAGCTTGAGAGAATTGATGCAGTACTTTCCGAAGTTTTGTGAAGTTGTTCGGTTCTTTCCGGGTTTTTTTTTAGTTTTTACGAAAGCGATTACAAACTTTCTGGAAAGATTAAGTATTTTCCAAAGGGAGTTATTCAATGCTATCCGAATAATTTCAAAGCTTTTCTGAAGTGATTCATTACTTTCAGAATTGATTTCAAACTATTCAAAAGTGATTCAATTCTTTCTGAAGTGATTCAGTACTTTTTGAAGTGATAACAAACTATCTGGAATCATTCAGTACTTTACGGAGTGATTCCAAACATTTCTGAAGTGATTCAGTACTTATTTGAATGATTCAGTGCTTTCCGAAGTGATTATGGACGTTCTGGGGCGATTCAGTATTTCCGAAGTGGTTCCGAACGTTCCTGAAGTGATTATGTGCATTCCTAACTATTTAAATTATTTTCGAAGTGATTCTGTTCTTGCGGAAATGATTACAAACTTTCTGGAATGATTCAGTACTTTCCAATGTGAATCCGAAATTTTCTGTAGTTATTCAAATTATGCGAAGAGATTCCGACTTTAAAGTGGCTCAACACTTTCCGCAGTGCTTCAGAGCTTTCTGAAATAATTCAATACATTCCGAAGAGATGTCGATATTTTTATATGATTCCAAACTACTCTCCCATACCTCACCGTGCAAGAATTTTGAAAGTACCATCATGTCAAAATTTCTATCTTACGCCACTAAGTAACGCCAACTTTTGTCCGCCAATCATTATTTGCACCGTTAGCACCGGTATTATTTATAAAAAAAATCCCCGATCATTATTTTTGATTGATTGTTTCCGTAACAGGGGCGCAAGCCATTTCAAATTTAATATTTTGTTAATTTTCCCCTGAACCCGCCAACTACAAATTTACAGTTTCTTATCACTTTTTAAGAATATTTTTTCCCCTGCACATGTCTACCAGGGGCGCTAACATGATACATTTTTCTTTCATTTTTTCTTGATCATATTTCCAAGGGGCGCGAGCCATTTAAAATTTAACATTTTTTTTAAACTTTTACTGCAACTTATCTACCAGGGGCGCTAGCTATTTCAAATTTTATATTTTTTGTTAAGATTTTCCAGATTTAACATTTTCTTTAAATTTTTCCATCAACATGTATATTAGGGGCGCTATCCTCTTTAAATTGAACGGTTTTAATGATTTTAAACATGCTTACCAGGGGCGCAAGTCATTTCAAATATTTTCTTTTTACATGTTTTTCAGAACGTGTTTATCAGGGCCGCAACGCATTTCAAATTTTACGATTTAAATAATTTTTCTCTGAACTTGTCTACTAGGCACGCTTGCCATTTCAAATTTACTGGTTTTTAAACTTACCTTAACATGTATATCAGACGCTAGATTTTTTGTTATTTAATATTTTTTTAAGTTTTCGTCGAACTTGTTAATTGGGGGCGCAAGTGTTCGACTGTGTAGTGTATTTTTAATATTTTACATTTGCGATCAGATTTAGCTCTAATTGGATTGCTGTATTTTACCTATTTTGTAAACATTTTTTTCGGTTTGCAGCTAAGAAGTCGTCGACTACCCGCGACTACCCACAACCACAGCACTGATGGTACGTAATTGGTGGATAATTGGATTTTTTCAATAGTTTCTTGTTAAAAAATCAACGGTAAGAAGCAAATATTTCTGAACAATTGATGAAAAAAATTATTGAAATTGGTCCAGGGGCAGCTGAGTTATTAACGTTTAAAATCTTTCATAATTTCGTCACATGTTCCATTCTAGGTTTTCACAAAGTGTACCCCCATATAGAAATCACAGACGTAGTCCTACATCAAATCAATCTCATAGTCCTACATCAATAATGCGGTCCTGCTTGGGGCACAACCCTTAACTTCTTTTTTTGTTTGTGTTTTAATACAATTTCACCGGCTTAGCGTTTTAGTTTGTTCAGATCATTTTTGTACTCCTAAGGTCATTTATAGTCTGATTTGGTATCCATCAGACTTCGTGACCTTTAAAATGTACAATCGTTCATATGCAAACCACAACCTGCCTGAATCGGAACCGCTGACGGTAGTTGGAAATTCTCAACACCTCTCCCGCTTAGCATTTTCTCTCCTGCTCCGGTTTGGTGGCGCGAAAAGCTCGGTGTACACACTGTTTTTCATACATTTTTTTTTTCAATTCCGAAACACACCTTTGTATCTCACGTCTTACGATATTCATAAGGCGGCTATATTTGCGCTGCCAACCGACCGACGGACGACGTGGCCTGGCAGTGGTGGCGGTGGCGGTGGCGGCAGCAGCACCAAATGCGATGGGAGTATGTGTTGGTCGGCTCTGCTCCGGGTCCCGTATAAATATAATATCTCCTTTACCAGAAATCATTTCGTACACGGCTCTTGACAACGCAAGTGTCCAGTAGTCAACAGCGAGAACTCTCTTTCTCTCAGACCATTTCTTCCACTGAAGAAGGGAAAACTGTTTTCCAAGATTTGTGCAAAGATTTTAAGGATCTCTCTGAGGGGATCGCAGCATCGAGTTGTTACAGTTTGTTGAATCTCGGAGTGAAGTGAATGCTTTTGATTGGAAGTGAATATTTGTGAATCAAATTAATAAATTGTGGACTAAGTGACAATTGATCATACGCAAAAATACGTGAAAATGATGTTTCTGCTACTGTTTGTGATATCGTGTTCATGGAACGGAATGGTGGTCCAAGGTGCCCCATACGCGTACGATGCGACGATGGAAGAAATGGTAGTTCCCGAATCGAAGGTGCTTGATTTCGATAACCTGACCGAAAGTGAGCGGGTCGACCTGCTCCGCAATAAGATCAACATAACGGCGGTCAAGGTTCAGCAGGAGCGACTGAGGGCGGCGGCCGCCCAGAAGAACATGCAACGCGGTGGGGCACCGATGGCCATCAAGCAAAGCGCCAGCGAGCCGAACATCTCGAGCCACGTGCAGAACCGGAAGAAGTGAGTATTATAAAAAATATATTACACGCGATTTTCCAGCAGAATTTTCGTGGTTCATTGGGATGGAAAATTTCATTCTCTAGGTACGAGTTGTTCCGGTATTTTTAGAACAGCTGCGATCGTACCTACGTGATATAAAAATGCAATGCGAGGGAAATAAAGAAAAAAAAGTGTGATAAATTGGAGGGTATAAATTGCTGTGGTGACACTGTATAAATGTGCCGGCTACTGCCGAGGCACTTTTGTGGAAACCGAAGAAGTATATTTGCCTCATAGTGTCTGTGTGGAGGAATTTTCCCCGCAAGAAAAAGATGAAATATTCGAATTACAAACGGGAAGCGAGTAAAATCCGATGCGCTACTTTCAAGGTAAGTGCACCCGGCGGCAAAACCGGGTCGCACGCGTTCTTCGGGGGCAGTCGAGTTTTCCGATTTTCGCTGCAGTTGAGAGAAATCCGAACGGTTGGGGTTTTTTTGTATACTTGTCTGCAATCTGATGGTTGTTTGAAAACGTTATTTTGTTTATTAACAGCTGCGTTTTTGTATGATCTCAGGGCAGTGCTTCTGAAACTATGAAACGTGTCGTGCCGTCGGTAGAACACACCTTCACAGACCTGCGGCCAACGGTGATTTTCCAGCCTCAACTAGTTTTTTTTAACTCCGGGGAAGAATCTTTGATAAATGATCTTAAGATGTTTTAATCTTTTGCAAATAATTAAGACAAACGCATGTTGGCGATAATTTTTACGAAGCTAGGAGTAAACAGTTGCATTGAATGGTTATTTCGCAGCGGATAGTAACGGATACATTCATTAATGTATATGGTAGCAAACGACACTGGCCACATGCTTCCGGTCACGGGAAAGAGAAGGATTGTTTGTTCGAAGTTCATTTTTAGTAGATACCGAATTCACCTTTGCATATCCACGGCTGTCACGAGAAGGACGTTTGCGTTAGGTGGAAAGGTAAATTAGATCTGGATTCATTTTGGAAATCGTTACGATTTTTTAAAGCGTGGTGTGACGCTATCAATTCAGTTATGATGTTAGAGAAAAATGCTTAACCTATTTCATCATGAAGGTTAGTGCGAAATTTCTCACCTAAAGAAAGTTATGAAGAGCATGCTCTTCCAGGCAGTGCTTCTTATCCCGGAAAAGATGGTTATGCTTGGCATAAACACAGTTTTGGTCACGAACTGCTCATTTGCTAATAACTTTGCACACAGTTGACGTAACATAGTTCTTTTTGAAGCAGTAGATAGAATAGAGTCTAAGCTTGTTATATATATGTAAAAAAAAGTACATTTTAACTCTAGTAATAAACTTTATTTGTTTTTGCGTTGTAAAAATGAAGTGAGAAATGCTCGCTGCACATCTCGGACTTTAAGTGTAAAAAATCATTGGTGTTGATTCAAATGTTAAGATTTACCTACTATTTGCATATCTATAGTAAACTATTTTCCTAATCTATCAATTACTTTAAAGAAAAACAAATTTCAACAACTGAGTGAAAAGATTTCAACAAATGAGCAGTTGGTGTGTACAACTGTGTATGCCAAGCATGATGAAGAGGACAGAATTGGATCCATTTCATGCTCTGTCTATTTTTAATACTAGTGAAGCATTTCCATAAATTTTGCAATCGTCAAATTCAAGCACGGAGTAACAAAAGTAGATTAGATAATATAAAAAAGAGCTAAGTATAGACCCCACGGTCTTCTGCTCAGTAAGCATAAATGAACACTTCTAGGTCACCGAGCCCCTCATATAACTCAAATTCACAGTGATAGTCTTTTGAGCCCGAAACCACAACTTGCAATCATCCTTTGGTTTGTTTTTTTCCATCGACCTTGTTTTCCGTGCTGAGCACCAATGCTACCGACGTGCCAGGAAGGCAGCTCCCACACCTGGACCCTACCTATCGACCCATCAACTCATGAACCGGGGACCAACGGCTTTACTTTCCATCCGAAGGAAGGCGTGATCAGAGATGTTATGCCTCAGAACATCCCGGCGGCGCCGACTGGGATTGAACCCAGGCCTGCTGGGGTGAGAGGTAATCACGCTTACCACTACACCACCGGCGCCGTTAACTTGCAATCATATTCGGTATCAATTGGTATTGATGTTGCTAGGAAATCTTTCTAAGCATAGGAAAGTTGTTGGACCCCTATCCATTCGAAAAATGGCATGAAACAAAACTTCAATAGAAACAGTTACAGTCTACATGTCGAATGGCTAACAAGACCAAGATTAAAATATTTAACCTCAGCAGCTCTGCATCTTAAATATCTAATTATTTTATGCATGAGATCAGTTAAACTTATTCATGCCTGGGATGTAAAAAACTATGATATTAGAGTTCTTGAAAAGTCACGGATCATAAAATCTTAACCCGATTCGTATCTTCCTCAAAATTGACCTTTGCTCGCTTTTTACTCTCGATATACAATTTTCATATTGTCGTACTCTAAAGTAACTATCAACTATTCTTCTTCTTCTTCTTCTTCTTCTTTTTCTTCTTCTTCTTCTTCTTCTTCTTATTTCATTTATTTAACGTCGGTCTCTGTTACGCAATCTTGTGCCAAACTATCAACTCTATACTTTCATAATCGCATAAAATGACCACTTTAAGTCTGATATTTGACATTTAGCATCTCCATCTTCAGGATCACATAAAAATAAAGCTTCCTAGCACTCCGAATACGATGTCTCCGGTAAAATGTGTAACGGAAAATTGGCAATGTTTAATGATTTTAAATCTATCGATACTGAACAGATCTTTAAAACACGTAGTTTCAAATGACGCCAAAAGATTTGAAATTCGTCAATAATTGGCTGAGCTTAGTCTCGATGAGTCTCATCGTTGCCCACTGGTCACCATAACCGGTCGAATTCCAGACGAATCCGTTCATACTGACGACAACGCTCTGATGAGACAACGAAACCTCACCCCCAAGCTCCTCCCCTGATCCTATCTTTCGACAATGTACCCCTATAACCTCAGGTAAACCGCGAGTATTCGGCCCAACTCCTACTAGACATAGAATTAAGTGAATTTTGCTACAAACAAAGAACAGTGAATTATTGGCTCCGTAAAGCTAACGTGATTGAGTCTTCCAAATAAACGAACTAGTTAAAACAAAACGGCTGAGCAATTGCAAGTATACTGCTACACATTTTACCGGAGATTTGAAGATTTGCTTGAATTTTTTAGAAATCAGAATTGTTTTTCAGGCGCAAAATGTACTTAAATAAAATCTGGTGGCTGTTGTTATCTTGTCTAAGTTTGAGAACTGAAAAGTATCCTAAATGTACCATGTTGAATGAACAGTTGAAAAATGATCATGAACAATGATGAATGCAGATATATTTTTTACTAAAACATAATTTAAAAAAAATCTGTGATGCAACACACGGTGTTACACGACGAAAAATACTATTCAAGTGACCTATAGTAGGTTGTCAGTCTAATCGAGTGCACAATGAAATTACATTTGAAATTGTTCCAACACCCCCAAAATTTAAAGTTATTGTTTATAAACCAATTCTGGGTAAGTGACCGCATGCTATCCTGAGTAGCTCAATCATTTCTCAACCATTTTTTTGATTCTTAAACTGTTTTGGGAAGTGAAAAATAAGAGCTTTCAAAATATTTACATTGGCGATTTTAATGAAATTCGTTGAGATGTCTCTAATTGAATATGATTTTTATACATACAAAACGGATTTTTCTAACGGCTTTGTTCCATTTGGTGAATTTTTACTTAAATTTGACAGATGGAAACCTTTTGAAATAAACTTGCTATAACTACATGACCCTCTATCCTTAACTCCTCTTGGTTTTTTTTTTCAATTTTGTGGATTTGCTCAAAATTTGAGCCAAAGCGGTCAACATTTACCAATCTGAAGCTATTTCGAGTTGAAGATTAAAATTTATGAAAAATCACCATTCATCTTCTTTTTCTTCGTCGCATTTCAAGCTTATCGCTTCATGTTAGCTTATTGCGTGCTCTCAACTTAGTATTCTAGATGCACTTCCACAGTTATTAATTGAGAGCTTTCGACGCCTGTACCATTTTCGCATTAGTATAATTCTGTGGCACGTACAATCATACTATAAAGCCATGGAAGTTGAGACGTTGTTCAAACCGAAAAATTCCTAGACCGGACCGGGAATCGAATCCAGCCACCTCCAGCATGGTCTTGCTTTGTAGCTACGCCTTTACCGACTGAGCTAAGGGAGACATCTTAAAAAACATCATGTTCATAGTATTGTCGCTAGGAGGCATTGAAAACGTCCCAAACATCACCAATCTCAATAACTTTATGAACAATTATATGCTCAACAACTTGTTCCAAGACTGGAAGACGATCCGTCATAATCCTGAAAAGTTAAAGGGTGATACGGTCAAAATTTGGTCAAGGGAAAACGCGTGTAAATCGGTGAAATCGTTTATTTAAAAAATCAAATTAAATTTCTTTTTCAAGTTCAATTAGTATAAAATTCAGGAAAAATATTCAGTTAGGCTTCCGCTTTTCCAAATCCGAATTGCCGGGCCTTACGCTTGACCCCTGCCATCAGATTTTGTACAGCCACCTTGTCCACCTTCTTCGCCGCAGAAAGCCAGTTTGCCTTGAACTGCTGCTCGCCCTTAGCAGTTTTTTTGGTCTTCTTTAGGTTCCGCTTGACAATAGCCCAGTATTTCTCAATTGGGCGGAGCTCTGGCGTGTTGGGAGGGTTCTTGTCCTTGGGAACCACCTGCACGTTGTTGGCGGCGTACCACTCCATGGCCTTTTTACCGTAATGGCAAGATGCCAAATCCGGCCAAAACAGTACGGAACAACCGTGTTTCTTCAGAAAAGGCAGCAGACGTTTATTCATACACACTTTCACGTAAATTTCTTGGTTGACAGTCCCGGAAGCTATGAAAATGCTGCTTTTCAAGCCACAGGTACAGATGGCTTGCCAAACCAGATATTTCTTTGCGAACTTTGACAG